TTGAATCCGCCGGCTAGGTGTTCCTGCCCACTGCAATGTAGTAGGGAGACACAGACCTGGGTAGCCTCTGCTGGGCCCACCCCTCCAGGTCAACCTATGAATGCTTCACTGCTAGGGTGCACTGCCAAGTGCAGGGACCTGATTTGGGCTAGCCTACTGGATCTTAGTCCGCAGCGTCACCAGGCCAAGCGCTCCCCACCACTCCCACTTGAGAGGGGAATATGTGACTAAAGTCACTGCAGGGCCCTGTTCCGGCTAGTCTGCTCATTCCCAGAATGTCCTCTGTTGGAGCCTCCTAGTCTATGAAAGGGTCCCCATTTCTCTCACTCACCACAGGTCTATGCAGGGCTCCCTGCCATTGCATCGACGTTGGCGTTGCCTGCTCTCAACGCCATTTGGTTCGCCAATTCCAGCTCTCAGAGCTTTTGCACGTCTCTCTCCCTGCCATGTGGATTGGGATGCAGTATTGGCAGCAGGAAATTCAAATCGCGGCTTCCAATGGCACAGGATCCAGCTTCCGCACTGAGATTTTATCTGTTCCTGTTATAGCATCAGGATTGCATTTCCAGTTGGTTTCACTCAGCTTAGTTCGTTCCTGGGTCGGCAGGGTACATCTCCCCTCATGTAGGACTCCTCACACGGCACCGCTCCTGGATTCTAAACTGGTAATCTCAGAGAGCCTCGTGGCTGCTGTTATTTGTCCACCATGTTCTCCCTCTCAGTCACATTTCAATGCTTTCGAAATACAATTTTGAAGCATCCATACACAGTATCTCTATCTATGAACATTATACCAAGCATAAGGGTGAATCTATATTGTAATCAATACTCACAGTCAAAACTAATGCAGTAGAATTTTTAAGGGATGTCATGGTTAATTCACTGTATCAAACAGAGAAGTTTAGAAATTTAACTGTGAGACTCAGCAGGGAATCAGGATCTTTACTTTGTAAACATTCTCACCCTATTCAAGATGAGGCACAGAGATTTTGTGAGTGCTACACCTGCCCTGGAGGAGATTGTGTGGCTTATGTGCAATATAGGCATGGAAAAGAGACTTGTTCTTCCCCCTCTTTTGATCTGACTGCTTTTGCTGGCTGCTGCCTTTAAGTGTTGTCCCTGTGCCATTTCATTCTGATTAGGAGCCAGCTATTTATGGACTAAAACCTCCACAAACTCTAAGCTAAATAAACCCATCCTTCCTTCATTTTGGCTGCCAGGTATTTTGACCTAGCATTGAGAGAACATTAACAGGCAAAACTTGGTACCAGTAGAGTGGGGTCATTGCTGTGACTGTTTCTGACCATGAAATAGCTTGTTGGAAGAGTTTGGAAAAGTTCAGAAATATTGTCTAAAAGCATAGAACTGGAGTGTCTTTGTCTGTTCTTTATGGGAGATTCTAGGTAAATCTCAGAAGACCAAAAACAAGTAAAGATCAGGCTCAGGATGTTTCTACTGAGAAGAAGGACTGCACTGGTTGTTGGACTCCACATGTATGTTATTCCTTGGCAAAAAGTTTGTCTGTATTTTGCTCTTTCCAAGAGATTTTTTCTTGAGAGTATGATTAGGATTGTGGACTAATTTATCTAGCAGAAGAAATTTCAAAGTAGTCAAATGTTGAAGCTGTGGCATGAATAGCATTGGGGACTTTTAGCCAGATTTATGTTGCAAATAAAGAGTAAAAAGTCCAGCAGGATGTCTTGAAACATTGTGAGTATGATCAGAAAGAAGCACCAATAAATCTGTGAACTGTGAGGAGAGAGCTGAGGAAATATCAATTGTTGAAAACAAACAGGAGAAAAAAAAGTTGGCCTGAAGGCATCAAAAAGAGCAGCAAGTCTCAAACCATTGTAGCCTCAAAAGTGCAAAAGTGAAAGATTTTGCTTTGAGGCAAAAGCTGCAGAGCACAATGCTCCAAAATGGTGGCAGTTACACTTTATACCAGAATGGTAACAGGATAGAGAAGTTTTTCTCAGAATTGGATTCCAATCTACGCACTTGATCTGTACAGCCAAAAAGAGGAGAGTCTAGCTAATTCTTCAATTGGCAGCAGACCTCAACATCATCCATGTGGTGCTTGTTTTAAATGCATAAAAAATGTAAGTGTTCTGAGCTTAAAAAGGCTTCCACCCTGATTTCAGAAGGCCTGAAAGGCCTGGAAACATGCTCCCAAGAGGACAGTATATGAAGAAGTGAATGTGAAGCTAAACTTCTGGAGGTCCCATAAGTTTGGAAAAGGTAGGAACAGTATCATCTAAGAAAAACTGCAAGGTTTCCTTAGATGGATAAGACAGAAGACGAGGGAGCTACAACTACCAGAATTGCCATAAATGTGGAGTCACAGAAGACCTTTGGAACTCACAATTTGCCAGACTGCTTCAGAAGCTAGATGTGCAACTACAGGAATTACTGTTTGTCCCATTGGAATTTGGACTTGCTTTGGCTCCAATCCTATGTATTATCCTGTTTGTAAATTTTTGAATAGAAATGTTTGTCTTGTGCCATTGTATGTTGGAAGTGTTTAACTTTTTCTAGAAGATTCTTTTTTTCCCCTGTGGGAATTGAACTCACAACCTCGCACTTGCTAGGCAGGCATTTAAGCCAGCTAGCTAAAAGCCCCGGAAGAAGTGTTTAAATTTGTTTTCGTTGTATGGAAGTTTGCAGCTAGAGGTTGCCTTATAACTCAGAGTAGATCTCAGATCTGGACTTTTTCAGCAATGCTGAAAATGTTAGGATTACGGCAAGTCTTACAGATAGACTAAATGTCTTTCTCATTAAGGTATGTTCATGAGCCTTTAGGGCAAGAACAAAACGTTGCTTCTCATGTAATATAACGTTGATAGACTTAATGCTGGTTCTTAAGGATTGTTAAGCTCTACCATAATGTTCAAATAGCAAAGCATTAAGAATAAGCATGATTTGCATCTAAAAACATGTTTAAAGAAATAAGGCTGCTTATCAAGTTGACAAGGAGTATATTGATTTGGTTGACCAATTGTGTCAACTTGAAAAGTTCAGAACTTTAACTAGGAGACTCAGCAGTGAGCCAGGATCCTTACTTTATAAATATTCTTGTTCTGTGCAAGAGGAAGGCAAGAGATTTTTAATTTTTTTATTTTAAAGATTAAGATAAAAGAGGACATAACAAAGCAGATCAGAACAGAACATTTTAAGCAACACATTATTTCACCACAAGACAAAACCTGATATAACAATAGTTACCATAATGTCTCTTTCCTTGAAATAGTTGAGCATACCTTCATACACAATAGTATCAAATATAACAAAATAGTATAAAACCATTAAAGAGAATGAACGTATTACAGGGCATTCAAAGTAACCAATAATGAACAATGGTTATTATTATTATTATTATATTATATCATTCTCCATAAAATATATTTTTGACATTTGTATTGCTTCCGACAGTCATGAAATATATTTGAAATATGTCAGTAAATTACATGTGGTTTCAAGGACAACGAGTTTGCAAGACAAGAAATTTTATCTTATTTAAAAATATATCATACTGTATTCATGCATTCTCTTATTTCAGAGAATTTTATAATGGGAATATTCTACATTTTCTCAAGTCATTCTACTTTTTAAGAGTGATTACTAGTGAAAATATCTTGAAAAATGGCTTAAGAATGAAGACTGCAACATTTTGATTCTATATCTGCCAGCTTCCTCACATGCAACCCACACTACTGCACTGAAATTCTAACAATCATGATGGTCCAGGGCCCAGAGTGTAGTAATTCCATGTCTTTGTGATCAGAAGATGGATGTAAAACTTGTAGGGCAATAACATTGCATACTAACTATTATCATTAGATAGCTTTCTTTCCTATAAGATTTAATGTGTGATACATATTTTTAAATAATATTCTTTCATGTTTTGATTTTTTTGTTAATTTACAAACATAAAACTTAAAAAGGAAAAATATGGGAAAGGAGTTCAAAATTTTGCATTCAAATAAAATTAAATATTAAATTAGAATTGTGTTACAGGAAGGTGATATTTCTTGATGTTGAAGACACTTTGAAAAATGGAAGTTACTAGAGGAAAGGAAAACATTGTATTGACTATTGACAATTGTGTCCCTGTTCTTCTAGATGACTAGTTATAAAAGTATGTCTCTATAAATGTAATATAATTTTTTGTAATATTTGCTGCTTTCTTGATTCATTTTAATGCTTTATACATAGTAATCTGTGGAATTGTATCTTGCAAGTCTATGATGTGCTCACTCTATGAGAAATATTCAGATGCTCGTTGCTGAGTACTTTTAACCAGAAATGTGAATTTACCAAATTCACATCTGTGTGCAGTAATACCTGTTAATACCTTCCTGTGAGCCATGCTAAAGCCTCTCCTTTCTATGATATGTGTGACAAGGAGTTTCAGGAAGGCTGCTCCTTTAGCTTTTTCAGGATGTTTTCAGATTTTTAGTGTTCCTTAAAAATAAAGTTTAGCAGGTTTATCATTTATGTATGTTAATAAATATTTTGAAAACACAAGGATAGCCAATGATTTTAGAGTACATAGCATTCCAAAGTTTTAGGTGAAGAAGAGATAGAACTCTATATATTTTTTAAAAATTTTACCAATACATTCTATGCCTGCATTTTAAGATTTCTCTTTACAAATGAGAGATGCGATGGTAGTTGCTATTGTCTTCCCTAATTTGGAACTTGAGGACCTAAAAAGACTTCATCATCCTGTAATGATTTGATTAGTTCTATAATATGCAATAAGTATATAAAGTGGGTGAAGATAGGGACAACTATTTGTAAGAAGCTAGAGACAGTTAGATAATGAAGATCTCCAGTGGACTTGCTTTGAAATCTGTATTTCTTTAAATTGTTTTTTTTAAAATGTTCTGTTCTGTTTTGATATGTTTAATCTTACCCTCTTTGAGATGTAAAACAAATGTGTAGGACTGATAATCATATTACTGAGCTTTTGTTCGATCATAGAGCAGAATGGTTTGTTGTTGGGAGCCGCGTCTGTGATAGCTCGCCTTGCGCGGCGGACGTGCGGCCTGTGGTAAAGAGCAAAGCCTGAGGTAGATTACCCCTCCCATCGAATATGTTAGTTTCCTGCTTACCGCGTAAACAACCCGCTCAACAATATAGTCTGCCTGGCAACTGATGATGTTAGCCAATCAGCTTGCCTTGCTTACTTTAACATGATTGGACACTGTACCCGTATATATACCGGTGCCACCCCTGGGCGGAAGAAGAAGCCAGGTAGAAGCCCGGAAGTAGAAGCCCAAAAGGAGCCGCGGAGAGCGGACCGGTAGAGGCTTTGGGACAGACTGAAGCACAAAAGGAGCCGCGGGGAGCGGACCAGAGGAGGCTTCAGCTGGGAGAACCCAGGGCAGGCTGTACGGAGAAGGAAAATAAAAAGAAAAGGTTGTCCACTACCAGACTTTGTCGTGTGTCCTTCCTGCCGGCCGGGAGCGGACATCGACATTTGGAGGCCCGCCCGGGGACTGATCACCCCCGAGACATGGAAGTGGACAACGCTCCAGTACAGAGCTGCGAGACAGGTGAGTTGGGGATAAGCCTGGGCTCTGGGTGGCGCGCACCTACAGGGCTTTTAGACTCCCCTCAGGCTCACGCGTAAGTGGCGGATTCCTTGGGCCTCACGCGGTGAGTAACATATTAAAAGATGGGAAACATGTTAGGTAGCAACACTAAGAGCGAGGGTGGTTGTGGAGAAAGCTCTCAAGAGCTTACAAAAGTACGCAGGGTATCTGAGCAGGCCCAGTCAGGGAGCTCCCGAGAGGGGCCCGTCAAGGGGAACAAGGATGCTAAGGAGGAGGACGGGGCTCTAGCCTCGGAGTCGTCTGACTCCGAGGACGAGGGAAAGTTAAATGGCAAGGAGGCCAAAGAGACCAGCTGTCAGGAGCCTAAATCGCTCAATAAGGAGTCGCAGGGTTCTTTTCCAGCGTTGCCCCGCGAATTGTGCTCTGCTCAACCTGGTCTGCGGAGGAGTAGAGAGCTCCTGAGCGCTCCCCGGCGCGAGAGGGAGGCGATCCCTCGCCACGAGGCGGCCGCCTGGGAGCTCCCTCCCCTTTCGCCAGAACAGGAAGTGATGCACGGGCCCCCATTTTCCGCCCAATCACGGCCGCTGTCTTATGCTCCGCCGCCGGCGGGTCGGTATTTTTACAGGCGGCTTTGGCAGGGGGGACGCTTGTCTCATGAGGTACATCCACCTGGGATAGATAGTGGCCCCTACGGGATATTTCCTGTACAAGTAGCTATGGGCCAGGGACGCAATGCATGGGAGCCTTTTGAGATAAAGCAGATTAGAGAACTTAAAAATGCAGTTACAACCTTTGGGCCGACTGCGCCTTACACCATTGCCATGCTGGAGAACCTGTCTTCTGGGCCCCTCACCCCCGCGGACTGGATTCAGCTGGCAAAGGCGTGTCTGCCCTCGGGTAGTTACCTAGATTGGCGAGCCTGGTACACAGAGTTCTCTGCCGAGCAGGCTAAAAAAAACGCCGGTCGAGGAAATGGGGACTGGGGATTTAGCTCAGTGGCATAAGCGCCTGCCTTGTAAGCAGGCAATCGCCAGTTCGATCCCTGGTACCAATAAAAAAAAAAAAAAAAAAAAAAAAAAAAAGATAAAAATAAAAAATAAAAAATAAAAAACAAAAAGGGGGAGTAGGCCAAGGCCTGGCCCCAAAGGCACGATTATCCATGGCACTATTCACACACAATTTTTTAAATTTAAATAATGATAATCGCTCCCCAGCTGTGGAGCACTGCAACCCTTCCCCCAACCATAAAGGGTGGGTGAAGTGGAAAGATGTCCTGACAGGACAATGGATGGGCCCAGATCCAGTGGTCAGCTGGAACCGAGGCGCGGTTTGTGTTTTCCCACAGGAACCGGGACGAGAACCACTGTGGATACCGGAGAGACTGACACGGGCAACAAAGCCCTCGACTGAAGATCAGACCTGCCCTACTGGAGATCCATCACAGACCAACCAACAAGATGAATAAAAATAGCGGTAGCCCAAAATGGACAAGAAGATCCTCAGGCATATGCATGGCTTGCTCAATTGGCCCACGACCGAGTCTAGATATGGCGGGCATCCCTCATTCTCCTCCATAAGGTGACAATACACAGCAGGGTAGGTGAGTCAATGACGGGTAAGAGCGTGCCTCCCCAGCACGACTCGACCTAAGCCAGGCCCTACCCCATCCTGCACGTAAGCCGCTGGACTGTTAGATGCTGCCTAGGTCTAAATTTCTCTCTGAGGGGATTTCTTTACGGAGAGGAAATGAGTGCAAGCTTGTGTGCATCCAGGTTCCGTCCAGTTTGTGCCTGGCCCTAGAAAAAGGACGAGGGCCTCAGGGCCTTGGCAGACCATGGCATGGCCAACCAGGGTCTAAGCCAAGGACCTACGGTGGACCTACACATAGGGCATAAGCCTCTGCACCCAGTCCAGGAAGGGCTACGATGCGCACATTCATAAAAAATAAAATAGGGGGAGATGTTGGGAGCCGCGTCTGTGATAGCTCGCCTTGCGCGGCGGACGTGCGGCCTGTGGTAAAGAGCAAAGCCTGAGGTAGATTACCCCTCCCATCGAATATGTTAGTTTCCTGCTTACCGCGTAAACAACCCGCTCAACAATATAGTCTGCCTGGCAACTGATGATGTTAGCCAATCAGCTTGCCTTGCTTACTTTAACATGATTGGACACTGTACCCGTATATATACCGGTGCCACCCCTGGGCGGAAGAAGAAGCCAGGTAGAAGCCCGGAAGTAGAAGCCCAGAAGGAGCCACGGAGAGCGGACCGGTAGAGGCTTCGGAGCGAAGCCCGGAAGGAGCCGCGGGGAGCGGACCAGAGGAGGCTTCGGCTGGGAGCGATCCCAGGGCAGGCTGTACGGAGAAGGAAAATAAAAAGAAAAGGTTGTCCACTACCAGACTTTGTCGTGTGTCCTTCCTGCCGGCCGGGAGCGGACATCGACAGTTTGTAGGGTCACTTTTTTGAATGTCATTCTAAATACTTTAATTCTATAACCTGAACAGCTATTTCGAAGATGACAATTTGTAACTTATCAACCGGCAATTTCTTACCTTTTGTTTGTCTGTAATTTTGTATTATTTCTACCCCCTTTTTTTTTATCTCCATGTATTTTTTTTCATTTCCTTTTCTTTAAATAAATAAAAAAATTTCTCTTTACTATTTTAGGGTTATTTTATAATATATAGCTTCAATTTTACTGGTTTTTTATTAAACTGGCATGATAATTGTTTTATTACAAGCATGTGATTGTATGGATTATTTTTTGAAGTTTATTTTAAGTATTAAAAATTATGTTTGGTGTTTCTGATATTCAAAGGAAAATACAACTCTATTTTAAGAATGAGGGGTTGAGGCTTTAGCTCAGCAACATAAGTGCTTGCTTGGCAAATGCAAGGTCATGTGTTCAATTCCCAGTGCCCCTCAAAAAAGTGAAATTTATCAGTGTTTTACTAATTCAAAAAATTTAATGAATTTATTTAAATATTTTACATTTGCTATACTGTTATTTCTGCATTAGTAATAAAATTATGCATCATTATAGAAAATTGTTATTTATATATATTTATTATTTCTTTGAATCTATATTTTATAGACTATATTTGTAGCTATTCCTGGTTATATTTATTTACAGTTTAATTAATAATTTAATATATATTTAATATTAAAAATATTGCTTGGGCTCATCTCTCAAAATATAAAAGTTCATAATTTCATATATTTATGACTTTCTATTTGTAATTAAGTTTATTAAATGCCATTTCTTCCTTATATTATTTTTTTTTACTGGGGATCCAACTCATGTTCTCACACTTGCCAAGTAGGCATTCATGCCCCTGAGCTATAATCCTGGCCCACTTGCATTCATTTTTACGTATGTATATATGTTAGAAAATTTATACTATCAGTTTTTGGTGCCAAACCTGCCAATAGAATATGACTTTGTAAGTAATATATAAATTCAGGAAATTCTTAAATTATAACAAAATTAGCAATATATTGTGTCCATAAGTTAGCAAGCATATATATAATGGCATTGAAATAAATAAGCATAATATTATCCCCTGGCCATAAGAAATATTGAACTGTATTCTGTTGCCCAATCATTTATTCTCATATAACTACACAGCTCATTAATGGAAGTTTCTCAGAAACACTAAAGATATCACACTCTTGCTTCGTGTCAGGTCAATGTACTATGTAATATAAACATGACTTTTAAAAAATCACAGTGCTGCACAACAAAATATGAACATCTGTTTTTGCTTCCTAATAATTAATGGACAGACATTAATACTGATTTTATATTTTCTAAAACAGAGGTCAGTGGAAACAACACTTACCAGATGGTTGATGATGACAGGCAGGGTAATAATATTAGGAAACAGTTTTCTTAGTGCAATAAAAATTTTGGAAATAGACTCATAAAATAATATTGATGGCTACCACTGGTGATTTTCTCTGTTTCATATTTATCCTGTTACTCAAGTAATTTTTGGTTTGGTTGTTTTGAGCAAGTAATACAGTCCCAAAATCTCCAATCTTTTTCTTAACTCCTATTATTACCATCCTTCAAAAGAAAAGAGAGTGCATCCAATCTCTTGTCCATCATTCCAGTGGGAAGGTTAGGTGAGAATTTGTTTTAAAAGGGAAAAATTAACTATGATTTCATTCATATGAATGCTTCTCATATAATTATTGCACTTATTAAGTAGGTAATTACTCATCATCTCTTTCTTCTAGTGTGTCTTTAAAAATGTTGCTTTTTAGTCACCAAATTCATTAACAGAGAATATTTATATTTTGCTTTCCATTTTAATTTTTGTGAGGACTTAGTGCTATCTTTATTTTATTCTTGATATTATATTTGTTTCCTTCCATGTAGTAATGACCTTAGATTTTAATATTTATAGTATATTAAGATCACTTAAAATGATATATAAAATGATTTTTCTTTTTTGGTGTTGAGAATTGAATCCTAATCGTATAAAACTGTAATCATACACTATACAATTAAACTAAACATCTACCCTTTATTAAACAACATGCAACAAAGGAAACTTGGAATAATATCGATTAATGTTCCAATTCTCTGACATTTTTTCATAAATGTTATTGTTATATATTGCTGAAAGTCATAATGCAATAGTATAATTATCCTTTAGTGCTTTACTTTGAAGTAGTTGAAATTATATTGTACAATATTTGTCACATTTAATTTTAGATTTTTATATTATATCTTTCTCTGCAGAGACTGAAGACTCTTTCAGAGTCAACCTTCCCAAGATGCTTCAAACAGCATACCAGTGGCTTCTTAAATGTCTTATTGTTAAAACTATGATAGCATCACATTTTTCCTTTTCCATTGCTTTGTATATTATATTATTTCACAGTGCCCTGAAGTTGCTATATACTTTTGTTCATTCCATTATCTTAACGTTATTTGTTTAGATAAGTTTTTTTCAATTTCAAGTTCATAATTTCTTTTTAATATATAGTAACTCTACTGATGATCCTCTTGTAGGATTCTAGGTATGTGATTTTGTGTTTGAATACATGTGCATGTGTGTATGCAAGTGCATTTCCAGTATTATACAGAATATTTTTCATAACTTCCTCTTCCTGGTGCAAATTCTCACATATTTATGAATGGTGTTTACCCCATTAACTAGAACTCTTATTCAAATTACTGTTGATGACTTTTGGCAAATACTACCAGGAGTGTGAGTATTATTTATTCTTATAATTGTTTAATAGTGACTACAAGAGGCTTTGAGAGGCTTTGAGAGTAATATGAGCTTTCTTAATCGCAGGTTGCCTGGTTTCTGCATCCACACATATCTGACTGTAACAACAGTTTCATGTGTGGCTGAGATTCCTGCATGCTTGTAGAGTTCGATCAGCTCTTACACTTCGTACACAGTGAGCAATTTCATGGGTGCCACATCTTTTGTTAGCGACTTGCCTTTGGAGTTTAGATTTTTAGAATTAATGTGAATTTACATGGCAAAGTTTTATAGAAAATTGTACTTTTTATTTAACTGGACATTTTTCATACAAGTATATCTTAAGTATTATTGTAGGTTCTTATAGCCTATATGTAATTGAAATTTCTACTATCCATAACTACAACTTGCAGAATATTTTGAATGTATAACACTACATTTATGAGTGCATTATCAACTTCTGAATCTTGAAAATGTAATGCTATCAACTCAGCCCCCTTGTAAGGGATCCTAGCTACTATCTACTCTGTTTTTATGCTGCTAAAACATTTTTGTTCATGTTTTCTTTTATTCCATCTTTCATGTTTCCTCTATCCATCCCCCATCTCTATCTTACATTTGTTTGTGCTCCTTACTGTTTACCTTTCTTTCTGTCTTTCTTGCTTCCATTCTGCCCCCTTACTCCTTCCTTCCTTTTTTCATTTCTTCCTTCCATTTACCAACAGTGTTTTTTTTATGTTTTAAAAACCTCTCATTCTATTTAATTTATAAACAAACAGAATAAAAGATAAGGCAGCCATTTTTGTTTTTGGATTCTGATTAAAGTAATATATGAAGTACAATTAAGTTATAGGAAAGTGATACATCTTTAATGTTAAAGAAAATTGGGAAAATAATTATTACAGAAAAGAGAAACAGTTTTGTGCAAATTTTTCAGGATCACTGGATATGAGCATATGTCTTTGCGTATTTAATGTAATTCCTATTATTGCTTGTATAATCTTTGTTACGTTTTTTTACTTTAAAGTTTAATAGTTAATAATCTCTGTCTAATATAAACCTGTAAGAATAACATGCATTTGGTATATGAGCAAAACTATGACTTTGATTGTAAAGAGCTTTGGGCCTGAAATGTTGTGATTTAACTGATTTTAAATCTTTATGCAGTGATGTCTGTTAGGTTTGGTCCTGTGAACCATGCTAAAGCCTCTTCTTTCTGTGATGAGACAAGAAGC